GACTTATTTCACTCAGCATAATGTCCTCCAAGTTCATCCATGTTATGCGGTGTTTTGCAGATTCTACATTATTCTTTAGCATTGCATAGTATCCAAGGCTATAATCTCTATGGAAGCAGATTGCTTCATCTTTCTCTCACAGTGCTGCTTGGTGGGTTTGAATTGCTGACCTTTCAGTTACCAGTGTAGAGCTTAATTATTGTATCTTAGAGATTTGTCCATTTATTGTGTTTACGTTGTTGTGGTGGTGGTTATGTGCCGTTGAGTCGGACCCAACTCACAGTGACCCCTCCTTGGGTTTCCGAGGCAGTATCACTACAGAAGTATATTGCCCAACCTTCCTTCCAATGTATTTATGTTACATGTCAATTTATTAGGAGTTCTAGTGGCGCTATGACTAAAGCATTGGGCAGCTAAAAAAAAGTTGGTAGTTCAAACCCACCAGACACTCTATGGGAGAAAGATGAAGCAGCATGCTTCCGTAAAGATTTACAGCCTAGTACAAAAAGAGGCACAATGGGGACAGCATCCTCTTCTGACCTTGAACTTCATGCGGGGCAGTGAGAAAGATCAACAGCAACAACTCATAGCTGATTCATGTAAGGCAAAAATCAGACATGCTGTCACCCTCCAACCTTTTTACCAATTCTACACCAATCCTCTGTTCCATGCTACTCTCTAGCTCTCTGTTGGGTTCTATAATTTGTCACTATGGCCACACACAATACTCAAGGTTATGGAGTTTATTAGGGAAGTAACAGGTTATAATTCAGGTTCAGGAACACACTCAGGATACAATTCTTCAATGAGGACAGTCTCCCCACTGCTGTGTCCTCAGGAACACCTCACTCTGGCCCTTGGCTTCTTGGCTTGGCCTCTGCCATGCTCAGGCAAGTGCTACAAAGCTCTTTTAGTTCTGCCAATAGGCACAGCTAGGTGCATCCCACTCCACCAGCAAGACTTCTGCCCAAGGGCACTCAGCTTTCTTGTTCAGTGGGCTAGCAAGCCCGCCACTCCATCTCGTGCTGGTCTCTTGGTTCTGCTGCCACCGTCTCTCTGCCATCTCTCTGCTCATCATCAGCACTGTGTCATCTCAGCACAGTGATTTTGGGTCCAAAGATGTGTTCCACTCCTGGCTTTTCCTTCTTGATGGTAGTGAGATCTTCCCTTCTGCCTCTATGACAGCTCTTTTTAAGCCTAGCAGAATGACAAAACTGACCAATATCAATATTAGGGTTCCACACATCTTATGTCCATGGCCCCATCCCCATGGTGCCATGAACCTTATTTACATTACTAACAAGCTATCCAGTCCTCTTGGTAGGCCACAAGCACCTCACATTTGCACAGTTCCATCCAGTTGTCCGGTGAGCACCACAAAGAGCATGGTTAGAAGAGTCATACCAAATAACTCATGCACTACACCTTGGAAACCTATGGGGCAGTTCTACTCTGTCCTATAGGGTCCCTATGAGTTGGAATTGACTCAATGGCAGTGGGTCACTTTATTTATTTATTTTTAAAATGACTACATTTGCACTTTCCAGTTCCTCACATCTCACTCTCTCCTCTACCCACTCCAGTCAGGTTTGCCCCTCTTCCCACAAAACTTCCTTGGTCAGGGTCCCCTGTGATCTGCATGCTACTGAAATCAGTGGATTGTTCTCACTTCCTTGGGATTGTTTGATGGCTCCTCAGGATTGTTTGATAGTTGTTCCCCCTGGCTTCCAAATCTCACACTCTCTCTGGTTTCCTCTCACCTCCCTGGCCACTCCTGCCTAGTTCCTTTTCTGGGTCTGCTTCATCTCCCCCACCTCCTAACAGTGGAGTGTTCCAGGACTCAGTCCTGACTGTGGCCCTCCTCTGTCTACACTCATCAAATCCCATCTCATATAGGTGCATGGTTTTAAATAACATTCACTTACTTTATCTCCCGGGAGCTCTGGTAGCATAGTGGCTAAGACACTTGCCTGCTAACCAGACGGCTGGCGGTTCAAACCCACCAGCCACTCCTTGGAAGGAAGGTTGGGCAATCCTACTTCCATAGTGATACTGCCTCGGAAACCCAAGAAGGGGTCGCTATGAGTCGGGTTTGACTCGACGGCACATAACAACAACAACAACACTTTATCTCCCAGACCCAAGGTTCCATATAGGGTTCTGGCCTCTCTCCCAAACTCCAGAGACACACACCCAACAGCTGACCCTGCATTCCTTCTTGGATGTTTAACAGGCATCTCAAAGCCACAAACGATGATTTAATTTTCCTCGCCAAACTCATTCTTCTCCAGTCTTTCCCAGTCTTTCTCTTTGGCAACTCTATTGGACCAGTCATTCAGGCCAGAAATCTAGGAGTCATGTTTGATGCCTTTCTTTTCCTATCCACATCCATGCAATCAGCAAGGCTTGACTGTACTTAAGTGGTACAAAGCATATGCCACACTGACCCCTTCTGTGTATTTGTTCCTCCCAGATCCAGTCCAGGAACTCTGGTGGCGTAGTGCCTAAGGCATTTGACTGCTAACCAAGTTTGTGGTTCAAACCCACCAACCACTCCTCGGAAGGAAGATTGGGCAATCTACTTCCATAGAGATACTTCCTCGGAAACCCAAGGAGGGGTTACTATGAGTTGGGATTGATTCGACAGCAGTGAGTTGGTTTTTTTTTGGAGGTTCAGGCCAATTCCTTCCTTTGCCTGGATGAGGGCAGGAGCTTCCACTCTGATTACAGTTTGTTCTCCTGAAACAGCCAGACTTGTTTAAACAGGAGTCAAGGCCAGGTCATTCCATGTTCAAAGAACCATAGTGCTACCCATCACAACCAAAATAAAACTTTCATTCCTCTCTAAGGTGTCAGGAAGTCTGGTTTTGCTAACCCTTCACTCCCTGCCCACTGCCTCCCCTCCAACCAATCACAGAGATCTGAGTTCTGTCCTGCTCACCTCTGTTCCTGCCTCAGGGTCTTTGCATTAGCTTGTCCCTCCACCTAGAATGCCCCTCTTTGGCTTTGCCCCATGATAGCTCACCAGATCCCATCCTGAATACCACCTCCTCTGAGAGCTTCCTCCCCAAGCTAGTCCAACACCCAATACATTCCCCAGTATTTTCCTGACTGCTGATACATCTATTCTGTCTCCAGGTAGACTGTACCTGTGGGCCTATTCTCCAATCACAGAGCAGCCTCAAAGGTCCCGACCCAGACCATCCTGGCAGATGAATAACAACCTTTTCCCTCACTCCTCACCCTCCACGCCCTGCACTGACTGTCAGTCTGTCCGTGGTGTCAGGCAGAAGGGCTGGCCCATTGGGGATGGGGTGGACCAGTGCAGCTGCTGAACCAGCGGCTGACAGAGCGCTCCCCACCAGGGGGCGACCCCGCTTAGCTCAGCCCAGAAGTGCAGCGGGGCGGTCAAGGCTTGTCGCGGCCTGAGGACCTTCCCCCGCGCTGACACAAAGTTCCCTGTTGCCCCTTCCCTGAATCCCCAAGGAGCTGGGTCGCCCTCCCATCACTTCTAGCGACTGTCGAGGTCCAACGAAGCGGGTCTAGCAGATCTGGCCCCAAGCAGGCCACAGCATGGCTGGACCCGACGACCCGGGATGCTACACTCACTGCCCTGCCGGGCTGGCACGTGGGCGCCTCCGGGGGATCTGCGCTCACCCGGCTTCCAAAGGAGGGACCACTATTCTACCCTGGGCCAGATGGGAAAACTGAGGCAGCCTCTGAGAAGCGACTTGCCCTGGGTCACGCAGCGAATCCCGGGTTTGTTCAACCACTCAGAGCTTGGCGGGAGGTCCCGAGTTGGACCCCACCCAGCTTTCAACTTCAGCCCCGCCTATCCCCTGACCCAGAGCAGGGCCGGGGCGGAGGGGTTGAATAGAGGCTCCCAGGTCACCGCCCCCGCCGAGACTGAGGGGCGGGGTCGCTTCAGTTCCGTTCCGCCCCCATTAGCTACGGCGCTGGGGGCGGGGCGCTATTGCCAGATGTTGGGGCGGCGGCTGGAGCTACGGAGAGCGAGGAGCCGCAGATCAAGGCGGAGGGCGAAGGCCCCACCGCTGGCCGGCCCTCCGGGCGGTCTCCGCGCCGCTCCTGCGGCGGTTCGAGGAGGAACGGGCAGGCCTGGCGGGGGCTCAGACACCGGTATGCACAGCGCTCGACTTGACAGCTTCCTGGGCCAGCTCCGCTGGGAACTGGTGAGGTTTGGGCACGAGTATGGTTCGTGGGGACGGGTGTGGGGTGCTCAGCTGCCGCCTGTCCCGAACACGGACGGGTGTGAGTTGTCCCGGGTGCCCATCCGAGGAGGGATGGGGGCGGGACGGCGCAGATGGCCCAGATGGCCCGCGTCGGGTTTCAGACGGTTAGGAGCAGCGCTGGGCATCAGGTAACAGCCACCCACCTGGCCGTGCTCCTGGCGGGGGTGTGGGTAGTTGTGCTGGAGGAGAAACTTCTTTTGCGGCCGGGCAGGAGACAGCAAAGGACTGAAAAGGCGCTAGCACTATTATGGACTCTTCCTCACTCAAGCTGGCCTGTCCCTCCTTCTTCCACTCCTCACCCGGCAAACACTGTATTCTCTGGGAGAAGCTGCAGTCTTGGGAGAGTTGAATCCCCCAAGAGGTACCGGATGCCCCCCCAGCCATGGGCAGGCCCTACTTCCCTGTGCAGGCCTGCACCCCTGCCCGTCTTCCTTAGTGACGGGTGCTGACTTGCCCAGCCCTGCGTGCTGTAGCCTGCCGGACCGCCACCAGGTCGGCAGATGGGAGCCACACGACTTCGTATGCCAGCACCCCAACACCAGCCCTGTGCCCCCCAGAAGCCCTGCCACCCAGGCCGGCAGACCTCCCTAGCCCTCCTTGGCTGTCTGTTCTCAGGGCTAGCTTGGCCAGGCAGGCAGGCAGGCAGGCAGGGGTGGTAAGTGCTGCTGCTCCAACTTATGCCCTCTCTTCCTCTGCAGCTGTGTGGCCGGGACACAGGCTCACCCCAGATGCCTGGGTCCCTGCGGCCACCCCCTAAGCCTGGCCCATGTGTGCGGCCCAGCCACCAGCTCAGGGCCTCAGATGCCTCGGAAGAGGACTCAGCATGCTGTGTGGAAGAGGATGAGGAGGAAGTCATGATGATGGGGGACAGGGGTGCAGGCTTGCGGGGCCCCAGGGAGCACACCCTGGACTGGGACTCTGGCTTCTCAGAGGTGTCAGGGAGCACATGGCGAGAGGAAGAGCTGCCCATACTCCAGCGCCCAGCACCCCCAGCACGGCCCCCCCATAGCCAGCGCCTCTCAGCTGATGGCCTCCCCCTGCCTAGCAGGGTCTCTCTGGCCAGTGCACCACCTGCCCACCGACCACGACCTAAATCCACTCCGGATGCATGCCTGGAGCACTGGCAGGGACTAGACACAGAAGACTGGACAGCAGCCTTGCTGAGCAGGGGTCGGAGTCGCCAGCCACTAGTGCTGGGGGACAACTGCTTTGCCGACCTGGTGCACAATTGGATGGAGCTGCCGGAGGCACCCAGTGAGGGAGATGGTGGGAGTGGACCCCGTGCTCGCACTCGGCCCCCACAGTTCCTGCTTGGCCTCTCCGAGCAGCTGCGGCGCCGGCTGGCTGGGGCACGGCGGGCAGCCATGGCAGGAAAGCGGCTGTCATGCCCACCTCGCCCTGAACCCGAGCTGCCTGCGGACGTCTCACGCTTTGCTGCCCTCATGAGCTGCCGCAGCCGCCAGCCCATCATCTGCAATGATGTCATCAGCTACCTCTGACCCCATACCACCCCCCCAGCCTGGGGACAATAAAGGTCTTTCTCTGGAGAGTCCTGGCTCCATACCCCTGAGGCTTTAAGAAGCAGCCTCAGCCCATGAGGCACAGCCCAGTTGAGAAAATCTAAAGAACTTTTTCCCTCCTGGTGGGGGTCCCTGTCATACCCATGTCATGCTCCATGCGTTCTATCATCCATTCTCTCAATTTATGCTTTTAGTAAGCATTTATTGAATGCCTGCTGTGGGCTCAAGATGCAGGTGTAGACTCAAAAGAACCAGGTGTTGGGGCTGCTGCCTTGTCACAGCTCATAGTGTAGGGGCGGGAAAGCAGTATCCTCCTCCTCACCCTCACAGCTCAGCTCCAGCACCAGCACCTGCCTCCCAGGCTCAGGCACCTGGCCTGTCACCCGCTGCACCAGCTCCGTCACCCTGGTGGGAGGAGCCAGGTCAAGGGGAGTGGGGAAGTGAACAATGGCAGGCAGAGAGCAAGTGACCTGGCATGGACTAGAGGGTGCTGGCGGGCCAACAGGAGCCCAAGCCAGGAGCCAGGAGCAGCTCAAGACAGGAAACATCTGAAACTATTTTAGGAGTGGCTGGTGGGGTGGGCAGGAGGCAGGAAGCCGCAGGTCCCTTGGGAGTGGGCTGTGAAAGGGGGGATGTGCATGGTGTGGGGGCGCTGGTGGGGCTGGCCAAGCAGGCGGCTCTTTGCCCCACCCCCAGCCCATTTGCTGGCTCCATTTGGCAAAAGAGTTTCAAGAAGGTGTGAGGGGCCCAGAATGGGGGTGGGAGGAGGAGAGGCCTTGTATCCCCCACCCCCAACCTCCAGGGATGGTTCAGTGTCTGGGTGAAGCCAGGCATGGACTCACTTGAGGGCCAGGTGCTGGGCCTGTCTGTCAGGGGGCCATCCTACTGAGTAGAGCACAGCTGGGCCATACAGTAACATCCTCACCCGCAGCTCATGTCGCTCCTAGAGGAGAGAGAAGTCAAGTGCCAGCTGGTCCAGGCCATGTCTGGCTGGGTCTGAGGGCAGGTAGGGATGGGGCACACCTGGAGATGGGCCAGCAGTGACTCCAGAGTCCTCTCAGGGTGCCCAGCAGGCACTTTCAGGCGCTCCCAGCAGGTCCATGTCAGGTGACAGAACTGGGAAGGGTTGGAAGGAGTGAGAGACCTCTCACATACACCCTCACCTCCCCACCCCAGTTACTAGCAACTAAAGGCCCCTTTCCTAGGGGAGGAGCTCGACTGGTTGGGAGGCAGGAAGCAGCAGCCAGGGGTGGGGGTGGATGGTGGGCTCTGGGCCCAGAGTCTCAGCCCCCTCCCTGCCTGTGCTGAGGCCAGCACAGGAAACAGGGCTGTGGGGCCGCAAAGGGAAGCAAACGATCCATCACATAGTCCAGTCTTTGTGTGTGTGTGTGTGTGTGTGTGTTGGGGGGGGATGCTTCCTGAGGAAGTGGGGGCAGGGTTGTTGTAGTCTCTGATAAGGCTGCTTGTAGCCAGGGAGCACATCTTGTCCCCCCATCCTGCCCCATCATGGTCTTGAGCTGCTCCTGCTCCTGGCTTGGGCTCCTTATGGCTTGCTAGCACCCTCTAGTACACATGGGTGAGGGGCACAATGACATCTGGGGCTCCAGTGTCCTGGAGACCCCATTAGAGACAGTCCATAGGGACCTTTGCTTTCTAGCCTCTCTTTCCTTCCTATTCCAAAGGTTTTGGGGTTCTGGTGGCTGGTGGTAGGTAGCCATGGATCAAGATAGGAGGCCCTGCCAGCTCCCCCAGAACCACACTGGGGTTAAGCTGAAATAAGGCTGGAGGCGAGATGGGGGCCTCCTACCCTCCCCCTCCACCATAGACAAAGGCATCCTGTGTGCTGGCTAGAGGCTGGCTCCTCACAAAAGGGCTCTGTGCACTATTCCTGGAGGGACCCCAGAGCTGCTCAGCAAAAGCCCAGTGCCTGTCCATGACCTCTGCCCTCTCCTCTTGTGAGGCAATCCTCTACACTGACTCTCCTGTAGTCCAAGGAAATGCCAACTACCGCAGAGCCTGGGCATCCAGCATTCACAGCCCTTCACTTAAAGGAATATACACGCACATAAGGAACATCCACATGTGTACCCACATGCACATCCATGCATGCACACATTGAGGAAAAATCCTGCACTCCCATCTGGCACACAGATGTGCAAGCCTGCTCCCTCCATATCCAGGTACCCAGGCAGGACTAGGGATGCCCAGACCCCAGTGCACTCACACCTGTGACATGAACATGCACATCTCCTTAGGGCTGCAGCCCCCACTCACAAGACTTGGAGAAGCGGCCAGGGCCTCCACACCATGCAAGAAGAAGCTAGCTAGGCTCTGTTTGGGGCTGGGGCTCTAGTCCTCCCTCCCACCCCTTTCCCCTCAGGGGCACTCTTGAGAAGAAGGGGGGCTGCAGGGGGATGTCTGGCTCCATTAATGAGTTAAAGCTGCATCTCCCCCAGACCCCGTGCTGCAGGAGGTGGGGGGCGGGGGGGTGGCTGATGGCTGCTTCCTGTGTCTGACAGGTCCCAGCCTGGCTGTGCAGTAGGAAAGGGGCTGGAGGGAGTCTTAAGGACTCCCCCACAGTCTGGGCCCAGATGAGGGCCAGCAGCCAGAGCAGGGCCTATTTAACTGGGTAGGGACAAGGAAAACTCAGGCCTGGAGGAGTGGGGGAAACAAGGGCTCACCGTCTGGTTGGCTGGGGCAGGAGGTATCCAGCGGCTGAGGCGGTTTCCAGCCAGGTGTAGATAGCTGTGGCGAAAGGCACCAAGGGGCCTCGGCCCTCCCACCACCTTATACAGCTCCAGGCCCAGCAGGCCTGCCACAGCTGCTGTGGTGGTGGCAATGGCTGGGATAATATGCCCCACAATCCGCTTGCTCTGCCAAGAACAGGAGATTCAGTTCAGGCTCAATGTGTGGAGCTAGAGTTTTGACCTCCATCCTCTAGGCCTAAGCCCCACTTAGGGGCTTACCTGGGCACGGTTGGCTGGTGGGATCCCATAGTTCTGAGCTCGTAGGTTAGCCGCTGCTGCCACAAAGTCCACATGGAAGTTGCTGTCATTGTCCTGTGAGACCCAAGTAACAAGCAATGTTCACATTGCAAAAGCTGCCCTCATCAGAGCCAACCATGTGCCACTGCATAAGATTTCACACAATTCTACGGGGTGGGTGTGCCATCTCTCCCTTAACAAATAAGGAGGGTGAGGTTCAAGAAAGGTGAGCCGCTTCCAGGGCCCTGCTGGGAGGACAACTCAAGCTGAAGGGCTCCAAAGCCACTGTCTTAGCTCCTGACTTCCCCCTGTAACTTCCCCAGGCCAGCCCCTCACCCCTACTTGGGTTCCCACCTTCTCAAATAGCAGGGGCTGCAGGGGAGGGTCCATGCGGCGGACTTCTAGGACTTTGTGCAATTCTTTCAATTGCTCAGGGCCTACCAGAAGAAGGAGGTATTGGAGCAGTCAGCCCCCTTCACCAGCACTTGGCTCTGTAGCACGGCACATATTCTTGTTCTCCATTAAGCCTATCACTCACCACTTCTAAAGAGCCCCCTTGATGGATGCTACAATCTCTAGCAGCCCCAACCCTCACCCATGTACGTGCCTGTGACTCTGTGCTCACTGGCAGGCCACAGCTTGGGGATCCCTAGAGGCCAATGGGTTGATTTTTATTTGCTGCAAATCTGCCAAGAGAGCTGAAGATGCTAAGGGTATAGTAAGGAGAGGGCCTGTAGTGGGGCCAGAGAATGGGCCCAAGTCTAGACAGAAGCAGAGTCAGGCCTTGAGAGGCAATGAGTTGGCTGCAGGCCCCCTAGGGCCCATCTTCCTCTGCAACGGATGGCAGCATAAGGGGCAGGGCAAGGAGCCTCACCAAACTTGGTGGAAGCCTTGGTGGAAGCCAAGTCACTGGTGACAATTGGGACCAGGCGCTGGGGACTGGGCACTGGCAACACCTTCAGCAGCTCCCTGAGTGAGGCCTGATCCTTTGAGCCAGGCAGCTGGTGCATCTGGGCATATAGGTTGGCAGCTGCCAGCACGTAAAAGAGGTGCATGTCCTGCAGTGACAGCCAGAGATGGGTGGGCTCGAGTGAACATGTATGGGAACATGGAAGAGGGGAGCACTGCCCATTTGTGCCCATTTGTTTGAGTGCCTGCCTCTGCTTCCCATGTGGACAGCACATGCCCACAAACATCTCTCTCTTGGCACATGTGCATCTCTGCAGAATGTGGAGGTACCCATCTCAGGGCTCCCCAGGGGACCCCACTCACTTGGTTGGCATCAAACTCCAGGGGCTGCGGACACCGTTTGGGACCTGACCAGAAGGGAGTACCATCCTCAAGCACCTAGGGAAACAGAGGCTGTTGGCCTCAGGCTGGCCCCCTTCCTGGTCCCCCTGACCCTTCAGCACATCAACTGCCAGCTACCCACCTTTTCAGGTGGGAAGCACTTCAAGAGCTGCATGATGCTGTCATGGAAGCATAGTTGCCATTGGCCACGTGCCCACACCACGCAGTCTTGCCAGGTCTGTGGATGTACCCTCAGGACATCCAGTACCTGTGATCCATCTATGTCTGCCAGGGAAGTGGATGGCCTGTGGAGAGGGGGAAGTTTGAGGCTGAATACTGCAGACTCTGGTCCTAGGGGTCCTGGACTCCCATTCACTTCAGTTGTGGCCTTACTGTAGATGGCGATTGATGGTCTCGGCAGACAGTCGGAAGAGCCCCTCAAACTCATTTCGGGCCCACTGTGGAGGAGAGGGAGCAATGAGGTGTCAGGCGGGGAACAGGTTTATAGCCGAGGGCTAGGGAGGATGGAGTGAGGGGTCTCTGGGTGCTTCCTACCTCCAGAGTGTGTTCAACTGTGCTGGGGAAGAACCGCACAGTACAGACAGGGTTGGTGGCACCCTCAGAAGCTGCAGCTGAGGTGGGGGCTTTGTAGACCTCAGTCACATGTGGCACGAACACTGCGGCACTGCCCCAGGTGCCCAGTGTACCTGCCTCCAGCAGTGGCTTCAGATAGTGGGTGCAGCGAGCAGCCACATAGCGTCCTGGCAAGGGGGTCAGAGGGTCAGAGGAGGGGCTGTCACAGCCTTGGGCAATGGGCTGAGTTCTAAGGTTGATGACTCACTGGCCTGGAAACTGTCTAGGGCTGCAGCCACACCATCCACGCGGGAGAAGAAGCTGTCCCCAAAGATGTGCTCTGTGGTACGGTCCACTGGGTGGGTGAGTGGGGTTATCTGCAAGCCTCGGTTCAGGCGACTGGCAGCCTCTGCAGCCACTTTTGCCTTGGAACTCTGAGAAGGCAGGAGGGCATTTACGGGGGCCTTGTGGGGCAGTCAGAACACAAGTGTGGGGAGGGACTGGCACTTACACCAATGTCCAGGGGCCTGAAGAGGAACTGACGGCTGAGGTTGGAGCGTTCTATGTGATCCATGTCAGCGATGGTAATGCTTCCGCTGCCGTTGGCCCCCAGGCCCATTAGGGCAAAGCCTTTGAGCAGCTCACAGCCAATCGCACCAGCGCCCACCTGTCAGTAAGAGAGGACTTAGCCCTTCGGGCCTGGACTAGCCCTCCCACAGACACTCCCAACCTCACCCCACAGCTCACCAGGAGGTAGTGCTGGCGGCTCAGCTTCTCCTGAAAACTAGCCCCAAATACTGCAATTTGCCCAGCATAGCGGCAGCTTCTCTGGGGGGCACAGACAGGGGTCAGTGATGGCCACTGGCCTGTGTTGCATCTCCCTCTTACACTGAACTTTCTGGGCCAGAACCTCAGGCCCATTCCTCCTATCTCCGCCCCAGTCATAGCTTTGGACAGGGCTTGCACTTCCGCCCAAGGTTCTTACTGGAGCACAATCCTTGGGACTGAGAAGGGATTCTGCATCTTCTGGAAGGCAATCAAGGGCATCAAAATACAGCCACTGGTCCAGGGGTGTGAACTTCCCAGAGATTGCCTGCAGATTGACACTTCAGCTGAAGGAACACCACTTCCTCACCTCCTCAGATACCTGCTGGAGGCTGCATGCAAGTTAAAGTTAAGCCTCCCAGGGTCGCTAGCTGGTGTTTGGCGCCCTCTGGTGTTGCTGAACAGTTTGGCACCCACATTGACCATACCCTTCCCAGTGCCACCCTGCTGGTGCCCAAGCTCACCTTCAGCACCTCCTGGGCAGTTAACGCACCCAGAATGGCTGCCATGGGGCTCAGGTCACCGGCACTACACAGGGCAACTGTCCGCACCAGAGCTTCATCTAGCGGCTCTTCCTGTGTTCCCTGCAATGGTTCCAGGCACCGGGCCAGGCGCACTACAGCCTCTGCATCACCCTGCAGGGTGAGACACCATGGGCACAGAAGCCTTACCCTGAGCTCCACCCCCTCTCAAATCCTTTGGGCAGTCATTCACCCTGTTCCACAAAAGAGGAAGCAGAAGCCTGAGTGGGAGGGCCTGGCCCTGTTGAGGCACACACACTGAGGGTCTGAAGTGCTGTGTGCCCAGTGCTTTCTGTGGACCAGGCCCTGGCCTCAACACAGTGTTTATCATCAACTTTTTACAGGTAATAAAACTTCCTCTGAGATTCAGACTTGGATCTGTGATATGGTCATTGTCACCTCCTGGTAGAAGAGACCCCAGAAAGACAGACGCAGGGGTGATGGCAGTGGTAGGTAACTGGGCCACTCACAGGATGCCACGGTTTGGGCAGGTGGCCAGTGTGAGCCTGGAACTGGTGCAGTGCACGGAAGGCCTGGTGCAGGCAGTGGGCACGGTGGACTTCCTGCGGACTCTGGGCCACCATACGGGGATGGAGCAGGGCTGTAGTCAGGGATTCCTGTAGGGGGCACTCAGCTGAGTCAGGGTTCTGTGGGCCCTGTGAGGTGCCCAGGCTCCCCCACCTGAGATGCACTTGCACTCACATGGTGCACAGTCTTGGGTTTCTTGACTTCAGTAATAGTGCCACCACGAAGATAACGGGAAAATGTTGTTGTGTCCCCAATCTTCAAAGTTCTGTCTTCTGGGGTATATCCAGAGTAGTCAGAATGACACTTAGACCCTGAGTAGTTCCCCATGCCCTGTCCTGTCTTGCATCTGTGTTCCCTGACTTTGCTCCACTAAGGATGATTGAGGGGGAAAAAACCTATCCCCAAGGACTAGCCTGTGTCCACTTGACTTACCCTGTATGTGGATGGGCTGAGTACAACCATTAAGCTCAACCATGCCCTCAATGCCTGAGAAAGTCACCTGGTCCCCATCTTGGAAGTTGTGAATATCAACTTCTCTCAAAGTGACAACACCAGGAGAGCCCTGAACAGAAGATGGCTTGTCTCAGGGGTGCATGTACCTACCTTTGCCAGGTACTAGCAGCCCCTTCCTGGGCAGCAGGTAGTGCTCACACCTCAGCACCTACCTGGGAGATGTGCTGGATGGCAGCCACCAGGGGTTCTGCCTCTGCGGGGTCCTGCACAGTGAAGTCCTCACCAAAGTCACAGAACAACTGCCTGGGGTGGGGTGGCAGGAGGTGACACTGAAATAGCTCAGCTACTGTGGTTAAAATGCGGGATACTAGGGAAGGCCCCGAAGGCCATAATTGGGAAGGGAATGCTGAAAGAGGCTTGGAAGCTAGAGTAGAGAGGATTACTGGAGTAGGTCTGGACGTGGGGGTAGAGGAAACAGCAGTAAGCCTGGAGACCAGAATAAGGAGGGGATGGAGAGGGGACACTGAAGAAAGCCTGAAGCTGGGGGCAGCTCTGGGACCCATTGCTGGCTTTGATGTGGCAAGCTAGGTAGGTAGTCTCACTTACCCCACAAGACCTCGCGTATTAGCCATCATGAAGCAGATTCCATGCTGGTGGCAGAATCTACCCACCTTCAACTGCTCCTCCAGTTCCGAGGCAGTCAACACCACCACCTGGGTGGGACCCTATGATCAGCAGGCCATAGCCACTGCTCAGCCCTCTCTGGGGTGGGTTCTTGAGGTGACTGGGCCAGCCTGGAGAGTAAGGATGGGGGAAAACCTGGAAGTCCAGCAGCAGATCCTCTGTGATGGCGCCCATGTGGACACAGACCCGGACAGCTCCATTGAGCTGAGCTATTGGCTCTTGAGAGGCCTCAGCCCTGTTCTTCCCCAAGTCGTGCTCTGAAAGGAAGAACTAGAGAGAGGCCAGTCCAGCCTGAGCAGGGAAATCCTTGGGCCCTGACCCCACTCAGGGCTGGGAGCCCACAGGACCTCACCTGGGCAGTGAGATCCGACCAGCAAGTGGGGTGAGGATCATGCAGAGTGAGACTGCCCACACCCATCAGCACCAGGTTCTTGGCCACCTCAGCCCCCAGACCCTGCAAGCCTGACAGCAGGACCTTGGCTCCCTGAATCCTTTGCATGGCTGCCGAGCCCAGTACATACCTGTGGATGGGGAGTGGGTGAGTGGCAGAGCAGGCAGTTGGAAATCAGAGATCAGAAAGCAACCTCATTCCCCACCCCACCTCTGGCCTTACAGCTGTCGTGAATACAGTTCCTCATCCAGCAGCTTAGAGGTCTCCAGGACGTCCATCCTGAGCCCTGGGTCACACACTGGGCTGCAGTGCTCACAGGCAAGGTCTCTAGCACTAGCCAAGACCAGAAACCAAGAACCGACGCCAAGGAAGTGAAGGATACCACTAGTTGCAGCTCTCTTTACGGCTCCTCTTTCATTTCAGGGAAAACAAAAGTGAAAGTGAAACTAGACTCTGAGCTGGCTCCTGGCCCTGCTCCAGATCTCCAGCAACCCTTTCTGGCTCACCTGAGTCTTGGCAGTCCTAGGGCACAAGCAAGGTGGGATAGAGTTTCCAGGTCCCTTCGGGCTGGAGAGGAGGTGGCTCTCTTGGGGAAGGGGCAGGGCTGTGGGAAGGCCCTATGTGGGCTGGACCCAGCGGTCTCCTGTGGCTCCCCAGGAGCCAAACCTCAGGCTCTAATCTCCCTTAGCTGTCTCTGTCAGAATGGGCTTCCTGCCCACAGGGCCCTGGTAGGAACTCTTCGTCCTGGAGACTCAGTGACCGGCTGCCCACCACAGAGACAAAAAGGTGTTGGAGAGCAGAGCTAGCCCCATCCCAGAGGTAGTATAGGGTTACATCTGTTAGGCCAAAGCAAACCCAAGCCACCAACATTCAGTTGGCAACTTCCTCTAGATGTCAGGCCCTGATGAGACAGCCTAATAAGACAACCGAAGTGACAGAACCCGACCAGACTGGAAAGTCCTATGCAGTGATAAACTTCCTCTTGTGAAGCCCCCTCATGCTAATTAAGTACAGACCCATGCTAACAGCTAATTGGACCCCACCATATCCTTAGTGTCTCCACTTAGGTCCTCCACAAGACTATAAACCCTACCCTCCCCAGCCAGGCAGTGCAACTTCTCGGGCCCCTCTCAGGGACTGTGAACCTCGCCCGGGCCCCTCTCGGGGACCCGTAAACCTCACCCGGAAACTCAGAATAAAAACTTCTCTTTAACCTCACTTTTGTGCCTCCTCTTCTCCTTACTGTGGCCTTACAACATCGTCTCACACTCAATTCCCAAACCACAGACTCAGGGTATAGCCTGACATCTTTGGGAGTGTTTGCCAGCCCTGAGCCATTCTTCAGGGAATCAGATTACCCTCTGCTCACAGCTGTCAGATCAGGGCAGATGCCAACCCTAGGTGGGCTAGTCTGGGTGTCTTGCCTGAGATGAGCCCCAAGACTTCAAAGTGGTGTTTAATCTCTCAGTGATGGGAGGTGTGGGAAGCCACAGTTTACCTGTGTTCTTATTTTTCTTTTAAACTGTTAATTTTAAAATAATAGACTCACAGGAAGTTCCAAAAACAGTACAGAGAGGTCCTGTGTATTCTCAACCACACAGTTGTTCTTTTGCCTGGGGCCAGTTTTCTGGAGAGTGAACCACAGCTTCCTAAACATTCCACAATAGCTAACCCTTACTAAGCAATGATCATGAAATAGGACCAAATGCCCAGTGTGCAGTCAGGCCAAAACAGTTTACACACCTAGTGATTAAGAGGAGAAAAAATGAGTTATTGCAAAGCGGCAATGCAAGGAGACAGGGGTTCATCCAGCCCAGATCTGACTCCCCGAATCACAATTGAATTACAGTTTTTGTAGGTTTCAGAAGAGAGGGTTATGCATATTCATAAAAATTTCAGGAATTTGGGCATGAGATGGTTGATGATTGGCTGAAATTTCCTTCACCTTGGTTTAAAGGGACAGTAGGGTTTTAATTTAATGCACCTGTGTACCGGATGAGTCACACCGGCTTCTTGTTATGAGCTGATCGGGGCTTAGGCAGATGGGAGAGTGTTAGTTCTCAGTAACTTTGCTCCTCTCCATCCCACTGTGCATGTCTGCGAGCCAGAGTCAATTTTCAAGTTGTTTTCTAAGATACATTAATGCGTTTATCACCTGTGCCTAAGGAAATAGCAGGAAAGAATGTTTTTTGTTCCATTCAGTTCTTAAGGAACTGACCTTATTGTGTTTACTCATCTGTCTTAACTAGGATGGGGAAATAGTTGAGGGTAATTAAATTTACTTATTTATTCCCATCCGGGGTCCTATCTGTTCTAATGATCTGTTTTAACCAGGGTGGGGAAGTAGTTTTGATATTACTCACAGGTCTTTTGTATGTGTGTATGTGTGTAAATGACATTTTAAAAAAATTTAGGTAAAATTTGCATAACAAAATTCACCATTTTAACCTTTTTAAAGTGTGTAATTTAGTCTTTTTAAAAATTTACAATGTTATGCAACCATCATGCTTATCTCATTCCAGACATTTTCATCACCCCAAAAAAGAAAATCCCATATCTATTAAGCAATCACTCACCATTCCACCCTCCACCTATTCCCTGGCAACCACTAATCTACTTTCTGTCTTTATGGATTTGCCTATTACATACAAATGGAATATGTGGCCTTTTTCGCCTGGCTTCTTTCATTTAACATAATGTTTTCAAGGTTCATCCATGTTGTAGCATGTATTAGTAGTTAATCTTTTTTTTTTTTTTTTAGAACAGTTTTATTGATATAATTTATATACTATACAATCCACCCATTTAAAGTGTACACTTCATGGACATGGAGGCTCAAGACCATAGTCTTGGGGGACACTAAGGTCAATTGGCATAACATAGTTTACAAAGACAATTTTCTACATCCTACTGTGGTGAATAGCAACTAGGGTCTTAAAAAGTTTGTTATCGGCCATCTAAGGTACAACTATTGGTCTTTCCCCATCCAGAGAAAGTAAGAGTGAAGAAAATCAAAGACACAAGGAAACAACTATGCCAGAGACTAATGGACCACATGAACCCCAGCCTCCACAACCCTGAGACCAGAAGAACTAGATGGTGCCCTGCTACCACTACTGACTGCTCTGAAAGAGATCACAAATAGAAGGTCCAGACAGAGTGGCGGGAAATGTGGAACAAAACTCAAAATCATAAAGCCCAGGCTTACTGGTCTGATGAAGACTGGTGGAACACCTGAGACTATGACCTTTAGGCACCCTTCAAGCGAGGAACTGAACTTAAGCCCTGTGTCAGCCAAATGAAAGACAGGCCTATAAGGTGGACAGTTATACCAAGTGGGCATGTACTCATTAGAACAATCAAGCATATGAGATCAAAAGGATAACATTTGCCCAGAGATAAAGCTAGGAAGGTGAGAGGAGATGGGAAGGAAGGATGAAGAAAAGGGGTGGGCACAGGGAAGAAGTGAGACGAATGTTGTTACAATGTGATGCCAAAAAACAGAATGTATATAGATTGTTGAATAGAAAAACAATTTGCTCTGTAAACTTTCACCCAAATTTCAATAAAATAAAATTGAACAAATATACAGTTCAATGTTTTTCAGTATAGTCACAGATATGTAAAATCATCACCACAGTTACTTTTAGAACATTTTCATCTCCTCAAAAAGAAATCCTGTACCCTTTACCTATCACTCTTCTATCCTCCTATTGCCCCAGCTCCAAGCAAATACTAATCTACTTTCTGTCTCTATAGATTTGCCTATTCTGGAAATTTCATAAAAATGGAATCATACATGGTCTTTTGTGGCTGGCTTCTTTCACTCAGCATAATGTTTTCAAGGTTCATCCATGTTGTAGTATATACTAGTACTTCATTCTTTTTTATTGCAAAATAATATTCCATTGTATGAATGTAACACATTTTGTTTACCATTCATCACAAAACCACATTTGGGTTTTTATACCTTTCTTTATTATAAATAATGCTGCTATAAACATTTCTGTACAAGGTTTTGTGTGGACATACGTTTTCATTTCTCTTGGGTGGAATTGCTGGGTTGTATGGTAATGTTTAATTGTCTGTGGAACTGCCAAACTGATTCCCAAAGTGTCTGCACCATATTATATTCTCACCAGCTGTATATGAAGATTCCAATTTCTTCACAGCCTTGACAACAATTATCTCTTTTTGATTATAGCCACCTTAGTGGTATGAAAGGAGCCCTGGTGGCACAGTGGTTAACCATTCGGCTACTAAACAAAAGGTCAGCCGTTCAAACCCACCAGCCACTCCATGGAAGAAAGATGTGCAGTCTGCTTCTATAAAGATCTACAACCTTGGGGAGTTCTGGTAAGATGGCGGAATAGGCAGAAAGACTGCACAGACCCTCTTCAACAGAGAAAAGGGGAATCAGTTAACACAGATACAGAAGAAAATCCTGGACCACTGACCCTTGAAGGGAAGGATATAGAAGTGGACTAAACTCCAACTAGCAGAAGAATTTGGATGAAAATACCAAAAAAGGAGACATACGGAGCTGTAGTCTGGCAGCAATCCTGACGGCACAGACAGCTTGGATATTGCTGAGTGGTGGTAGGACCTAAGAATTAACCTAAAAATCAGCCCTGCTAGCCAGGGACTGCATGGAGGACTGCTCTGGTGGTCGGGGAATAAAAGGCAAAGCAGCAACAAAGAGGAAGGTGGGCTGAGCTGTGGACTTTTGCCTGTCCAGAGAGCACCACCATTTTTAATGTTTACAAGTGGCTTGACCATTTTGGATATTGAAAGTGACAGCGTTCTCCCAGACTCCAGGGACTTAAGAACAGGCTCTGCTTGCTAGGAACTGCAAAGACATCCTGGACTCTCGGACTACTGAAAAGGTGCGACATTCCCCTTGTCACTCTTATATCTCCCACCCTCTTGGTGAATGGAGGGGAGGCCACCCCCCACTCATACCCATCTTCTAGGCCGATAGGAATTCCATACCAGTCCGTGTGCTCTGAGGGAGCCTGGTGCCCTGCCCTGCCCTGTCCAGATTATGCTTTCTTTCTTTTACTTTGCTTTTGTCTGTTTTAAAACCACTACTATCATTATTTCTTTTGTCCTCTTTATTACCATTCTTTATTCTTCCCTTCCCAGGTTCTAGTTTTCAGCTTTTTTTCTTTGCCCTGTTCCTGGTTCCATTTTTTTCCCCCCTTTCTTGTGGGTAACCCTGTTCCTTGTTTTTCTTTTTGTGTTTTTCCCATTTTTTTCTTCACTATTATCCTTCTCT